AAAATTTTGACTGAATATCTGGCTGAGCAACTAGGTTACTTTTAAAGGACGATCGTTAAATGGAAAATGCACATCTACTTTATGCAAAATTTATGGTGATTTATGCTAGTGATCGCAAGAGGTAGGTGTAGAGCAACAACCATTCATCCCATTAATGACCTGAGTAATTCAAGTCCGGTGCAAAAACGCATGATCGCACGGGCCCGCCCGGTGCGTTCTAGCCTGGGTTTTTAACTGTATAAAATGCTCCCGCAAAATATTCCTTCCATTGTCGTACTAAATATTTCATTCACTGCGTAGGAAGAATGAGCAGCGATATTACGGTATCATGCGTTGTATGTAGCAGAGAGGTGGGCATATTATTATCCCCACTCACAATTAATGTTGATTCTGCCCTTACGCCATATTTACCGGCGTCGATGAGGCTGCTGCTGTGGAAGATGTGCTAGTATTAGTAAAAGAATAATAAAAACATTTTTACTGGCGCAGCACAGAGTTATTCGCAGTATTACACGAAAGAAGAAAACGAGGTATCTAGTATCTCACGCTGCCATCTGGGCAATCCGACGGCCGTGTGGTTCCCTACACTAGGTTCTGCGCTTCCTATCCAAATTGGCTGCTACAATCAGTTTCGGGCTGCTACAATCAGTTTCGGGCTTCTGCGGCGAACTGATAATGATAACCATGGCTGATGACGGTGGAATTCCAAAGTACAGGAGTGTAGAAACCTCAGCAAGCGTGGTATTTCATGTTTACTTCCAAAGAATAGAACATTGATGACAGAAGTGTTGTTTTCATGGTAGACACAAAGTTAATGTTCCAAGGATGCTTTGTAATGCGTTAATGGCTACCTCTCTCAACTTCAGTATGGCTCCAAGCACAGTTCATTGTTCAGCTGTATCATTAATACCAGGTAGGCAAAGCTGAGCTCAAGCTCACCATCTTAATTCCCGAGCCTTTTAAGAAAAGGGAGTAATGCACCTTTTTCATTTACTTGCTTCTTCTGTGACTTTGTGTTGTAAGCAAAAATGCATATTGTCGAGAGGTTGTCCGTGTGTGTGTGTGTGTGTGTGTGTGTGTTCGGAGGCGAGCGAGCTTTGCTACCCACTTTCAACGCAGCAACCAGGAGAGCTGAAAGGTTAAAATTTTGGGGGCATATTCCTACCCCGTATGTCACCATCTTGTTTTAAAATCATACCTCATGCATGTTTAGATTTCGAGTGTGGTCCCCTAAAAGAATATGCGTATTTCTTTGGTGGTTAACGATTTTGTGAGCCAGACAAGATAGAAAGCTGGAACTTTGCAGTAATACTCTCTGTGTGGGCGTGAGCTAAAGATTTCAAATTCAGTAGCCGCACACGCTTGTATGCGCGTACAGTCGTGTCAAATTTCCCAGTTTGCACCTTGTTAACTCGAAAACTAGCTGGAAAAAAAGTAGTTGAAATTTTGTCACGATATTTGTTGTTCATGTGGAAAATCGTATACCTAAATTGAGTTTCAATTTGCGTTTGCGGTATTACTTGGAGCACTTCAAATATATTTATAGCGAAGTGGCTAGTTGGCTTATCGGACAAGCCGCAAAGCTGAAACTTTGCAAGGGTTCTATATTCGCACGTGGTCTTAATTCAGCACAGAGGCAAAATTCTGTGCATACGGAGACGACAAATACTCAATTTTATCGCAAACTCAAAAGCGAAAGTTCATAATCCCTTCCGACTTCTCTCAAATTTACATTTTTTTTTCCAACGAACGAGCTTTTATCAGAAAAACGGCAGGGCGGGAAAAGATCGGAAGACAGCCAATAAGAGCACAAATGTTAAACTACAGGGCGAGAACCATTCCTATTGCTAGCAATCTGCAAGTTTAGGCAAAGACGCATGATCGCATCGGCAAACTCGATGCTCTGCGGCCTAGGTTATGGCTTCTAAAATGCGGACAAATTTTTTTGATTTTGCTACAGTTTTGACGAAAAAATATTGGTTTTTTCTTGTTTCTAGTGTTACCAAAATAAAGTTTTTTAGCGCACAGTGTCCGTTCATCTTCCCAGTTTACTAAGTGTGAAATATCAACTAAATGAGAATATCCGCACAACGAAGCTTATGTTTACGATGGTTATCACTAGCACGGCAGGTGTTCTGTACAGCGTGCCAGTTATCGTTTTTCGTGCTGTCGATATCGAGGCCGATGGACCAGTTGTTATCAGCAACGCAACAATGCAGCGCGTTATAGCATTCGCTGCCTGGGAAGCATCCATTGTTCGTTTAAGCAGTTTGCATGCTAGGTGTTGTGATTGTTTCTACGGCTCGTGATAATCGAAATAACCCATTTTAATACGTGATCAGTGGTTACGAGACCGAATAAGAAGCTTAAATTATAGTAGCGGTTCATCACGAAATACCAAGATATGACAAGCTAGACCTTTCCATAACAATTATCGCCTGGTATTTAGAGGAGTCATGGTTCGTCTACAGTTGGTGAGGTCATCAGCTGTGTAAGTAACCGGCCTCGCCTTTGAAAGGCGCACTTTAATGAGCTTTGAAAAGAACGCAAATATTCCTGGCCTATGCTTGTTGCTTGCATCACTAAGAGTATTCCCCTGCGGCGTCAGAATGACGGCGATTTCACTTCACCGCTAACTTTCAAAATATTTCCGATCTACAGCTTTAAAACGAGTCTGGAATAATCAGTGAAATTAGCACAGAGCAACAAGAAAATTAGAAAGTAAAGAAACTCGTCGAAAAGAGCACTTTGGAAATTTATTAGAAGTGCTTAAATTTCCAGGATCTATGGAACAGTCTGATCAAAACCAGTTCAGATCGATTGATGACTGAAAAAAGTACGAGAAAAGGTGCCCGGCCCATGTCTTTTCCGTAAAAGTGTCCATCTGTTTTATTTCCGAACGAAAACCAAAATGACCAGCTTATGTTTTTTTTCTCTTTTTTTTTGGAGAAAACCCATTATAGCAATCAGTTAGTATATGCACTCATTCATACCCACTGAGGCAATGATTAGCAGAGAAGCAATTTTTCATTGGTCCTCTAAATTCGCTTTATTTCCAGGAGTGTCAGCCTCCAATTATGTCTGTTGTATTTGCAATTTTGTTTGCTTGGGGTTCGCCACAGTTCCGCAATTCAGTTCGAAGGATTTTTCTATCTTTCCGATGTTTTTGCCTGCCGATAAAGAGGCAGGTTCACGAATTTAATGCCGAAGACGAAAGGCGGATATATTTTCAAAATTTACAAACTTCGTGGGCAAACGCTGCTTCGAAGCTGCAAAACAAAGTACTGGATTATCTTTTTACATTCTGGATTACATGCATTTCTGGATCACTAGTACAATGCAAAACGTTTTAAAACGAACTCATATCTGGGTATATATTTTTCTATTTGATCTCTCATTCGGACTTCGAAAGTTCGAGGTTTGAAAAATTGAAATCAAATCAACAAGCGGGGCGATTTTTTTCGGGATTTTGAGAGCTTTGTTTACGGTGTATTCTTAAAAGCTCTAGGGCAGTCCAGCGAGATCCAACAATATTTATTCCAGTTTATAGGGGGAGAACTTTCGCTCACTTCAATTTGCGATTATTTAACATGTCTCACAACTAGCAGTTCTACTATAACCTTCCTTCCACTATACCATAATTTTGACCTTACTTATCCCTTTTATGGAAGTCATGCTTTTTTCGATGATTCAGGAAAATAATCCGAACCAAACCATACAGTCTTTTTCCAGAACTTTTTGTATTATAAAAAAGCGCTGTGGTAAGATTGTATCTATGTATTTGTGTTTTGACAAATGACTGCTCCAGCAACTCTTCAATTTTTAAGTGGACTGGAAATTTGCACTTTTCAAAAAGCGAACATTTGCCGAAAAAAACGACCGGGCTTCGTACCAAAAAACTTTTTTTATGCCTTTTTGCTTATATATAAATACGAAAACGCATATTATGACGACCTCTGTGTGCGTATATGTGTGCGTATGTGTGTGTGTTTGTGTGCGGATATTTCAACTCGCCACCCAAGCAAGCTCCGGTGTCAAAATTTTGCCAGTCGGTTTCCCGGCCAAGTGCCACCCCAGGACCGCGGCACCAACTTCACGCAAGCCTGGGCCCCGCGTGCGAGGTGAAGTTTTGGCGGGAAAATTGCTAACTCGGGAAAGAGAAAAGGTGGAAAGCTGAAATTATGAGGTCATGTTCCCCGTCCACATGGAACTTAAAAATTTCAAATTCAGCCTCTAGGTGTGCATGATAACCGCGTATAGCTCCATGAGGGTGAGAGGCTGAAACTTTCAGGCAATGTTCCCGGCACGTGTACAACTTGAAGTTATCGAATTCAGCCTCCAGGCATGCTGGTTCTTTCGTACGGCCCCGTAAAATTTTTTGGCGAGAAAATGGCTAACTCGGGAAATAGGAAAGCTGGGGGCTGAAATTTTAAGGGAATGTTTCCAGCCCCAGTGAATGTTAAAGATATCAAATTCAGCTCTCAGTTACGTGTGGTTCTCATGTACGGACCCACAAAATTTTTTGGCAAGAAAATCGCTAACTCAAGAACCAGAGAAATTGGAAAGCTGAAATTTTAACGGAATGCCCCCTGCCCAAGTACCGCGTAGACAATTGACTTCCTGAATTTCGAGGACCAATATGTCACATATCCTAGCTACTAGGTTTTCGAGCGATCTCATTGCGGCACAAATGATCACACAGGCCTGCCCCGTGCGCATCGCCAATGATTTGATAATCATGTACCTGGAAGTTAATGTGGTCCTAGAATGCAACATTTTCATCTCGACCGACTCACTTTCTCCTGATGCTGGAAGTGGCCAGAGCGCTGCCAATATGAGCCCAAGTGTTAGTCTGCAGCGCAGGGATCATTCCTGCTATCAGTGATCTGCTAGTTTAGTGCAAAAACGCACCATCGCACGGACAAGCCTAGTGCTTTCCAGCCTGGGTTGGCTTTATTCACAAAATTCTGGTTATAGCCACTCATCCGAAAATTTTGCAGGATCGTGGATTAGCTGTACGATCACACAGTGTGCATAAAGTGCGCGTAACTAAGCCGCTATGAGCCTGTGCTTCTGGATATGCTGTGCTATGTTCCATTTTCGCAAACACCTGCTGCGTTCATATTTCCCTTTTAAAGCAGCAAATATCGATATTTGATACAGATGTTGAAAAATAATGCACCTGCCTGCCTGCACTGTACGGATATACCTTCTAACTTAAAAGAAGAATGAAAATCTAAATATTTGTCATGTTTTCTTGCTTTTCTTCCACTAGTAAACCCTGCACCATGTGATAAAATCCAGAAATGCCTATTTTCTGCACGTTTTCTTAAGAATGATTTCAACTTAAGAACAAAAAGTGCCATCCGCACTTTTGACTCGCATAGCTTCCTATTCGCTCTGTGTGTGAGTTAAAAATCATTGGCGAAAAAGCGTGATCGCACTGGGCGGGCCCGTGCGATCAAGCGATTCTGCAGTGTTTCGTGCTGTAATAAGATCGCTCGAAATTCCGCTAGCTAGAAACCTCTGACATACTGATCCTCGAATTTCGGGAAGGCCCAAACTATACTTGGACAGAGAGCATACCCCTGACATCCCAGGTTCCCAGCCTTCTCAGTTCCGGAGTTACCCAAATTACTGCCAGAAAATTCCACGGGGCCGTACATGGCAACCACGCATAACGGGGGGGCTGAATTTGATAAATTTAGGTTGTAGATGAGTTGCGAACATTTCCTGAAAGTTTCAGCCTCCCAGCTTCCCTGTTCCGGAGTTATCCACTTTCCCGCCAAAAACCTTCACGGGGCCGCACGTGGCAAGCACGCATAACGAGGAGCTGAACTTGATAAATTTAAGTTGTGGATGAACTGGGAACATTCGGTGAAAGTTTCAGCCCCCCAGCTTTCTTGGTTCCCAAGCTAGCGATTTTCGTGCCAGGAACCCTCACGGGGCCGTACGCGAGAAACGCACACACCTGGGAGCTGGATTTAAAATCTTTGAGTTCTATATGAACGGGGAACATAATCCCAAATTTCAGCTTTCTAGTTTTTCTGGTCCCCAAGTTAGCGATTTTCCGCCAAAACTTTGAGGCGCTCGTACGCGAAGCCTAGACGTGCGTGAGGGCTGGCACCGCGGTCCTGCAACTGCACTTGGCTGGGGAACCCCCTCGCAAAATTTTGGCGCCGGAGCTTTCTTGGGTGTCGAATTGAAATTCCCGGACAGACGCACATACACACACACATACACATACACACACACACACACGCACACCAGGGTTGTCGCAATATGCGTTTTCGCATTTGCATATATGCAAAAGCGCATAAAAACGGTTGTTTTTCAATGAATTTAGCAGCACTGGTATCAAATCGCGATGCAGTCAGCTTTTTAGTTTCAGTTAAATTTTTGGTGAACTGTTTTTCTCCAGATAGCTTCATATTTAGCTTTTATTCAAAGCACAAACAAAAGGCAACCTGTTCTGTTTCAACCTATTAATAGTTCTTTTTTTCAAAACCAACAGCTCCCATTAAGCTTCAGTGATCAAAAAAAAAACCGTTCAACAGCCATTAATTGCAATGCCCACCCGCAAAAAAGCAAACACGCAAACGTGTACAGCCAGTTGTAAAGCCGGCTTATCGACAGTATGTTTTTTTGCTTATTGTACAGTGCTACAGCATTGCACAGCAAAAACGTATAAAAACTCCTACATGTTTTGTCGCATTCATTTTGTATGGGCACAGAAGCTTCCGCACACAAGTATTATCCAGAAATCCTGTGTTATTCCCGAATTTTAGTAAGTGTAAAAAACCGCTTATTGATATTCCTCCCTCCCTCTCGCCCTTCCCCTTCTCTCCATTCTTCGTGCAACTCTTCGTTGATCCAGAAAACACACACAAATAAAACGGTTTCGACGACTGTTTGTGCATGGGGATTTAAGGGCAACTGCTAAAACTCGGCTCAGCTCGGCTCGGCTAGCCCTCGGCTACCTCGGTCGAACCTCGGCCGCCTCGACCACACCTCGGCCGCCTCGGCTCGCCTCGGCCGGCCCCTGGCAGCGGCATTATCGTCAAGCATAGAGTGGGAGAGCGGGACGGGGAGGTGTGAGGACAGGCAGGGGGAGGGGGAAGAGGCGAACGGAGAAGACGTTGGCAGGGGGAACGGGGGGAGATAGGAGCAGTGGGGTCGGATGGGAAAGACGGGAATGGGGCGGGCCGGGAAGAGGAGGGAGCAAGGATAGGAAAAGGTACAGGGAGGGGTGGAGAGGGGGATTGCTGCGGGAGAACGGTGACCGCGTAGTCGGAAACATTGGGAAAGG